GTGGGGGTATGCAGGGCTGCACAGTGCCGGGCCATATGGCACCGTGTGCACCCTGCTCAGCCCTGCCGCGCCAGGCCACGTTACTCAGGGCCGTGCCACTACGTCTGGGGACGTCGGTGGGGCCGGGCCCTGCCACGCAGCACATCTGCCACGCTGGGCCCAGCCTTGCATCAGGGGCCGCAACCTGCTACAAAGGCCAGACGCGTCGGAGCCTGCAGGTTCCTGCCTCGCCACTGCTGTGTGCTGGGGAGTCGCTCACAGGAGTCCCGTGTCGCCAGCCCGGGTCATGGCGATGCGCGCGGGAGCCCTCTAGCAGCTTGTGTTTGGTGGCTTTTGCTGTACCCACTGCCACGCTGGGCCCAGCCTTGCATCAGGGGCCGCAACCTGCTACAAAGGCCAGACGCGTCGGAGCCTGCAGGTTCCTGCCTCGCCACTGCTGTGTGCTGGGGAGTCGCTCACAGGAGTCCCGTGTCGCCAGCCCGGGTCATGGCGATGCGCGCGGGAGCCCTCTAGCAGCTTGTGTTTGGTGGCTTTTGCTGTACCCAGTGTGGGACGGTCCCTGGCACCCCCTTGGCAGCCACCGAAGATCCAGCCTCTGGTTCCTGGGCAGGTGCTGCTTGGATCAGCCAGCACTGCGCTGGGAGTGCCACCCCAGGGTGTCTGTACTGTGCCCACGGGTGGGATGCCCTGTGTCCCTCTGCCAGGGCCAGTTCCTGTGCCGCACTTGGGGCTTTCCTACAGCACCGCCCCTTGCAGTCCCTTCCTGACTGCATAGGATATGAGGGCAGTGGGCCCAGCCAGCTGTCACAGCAGGCTGCCGAATATTTCATTGGAAGAGGCTGAGGGGACCCCCTGGCTGGGGTTTGGTACCCCTACGCCCTACAGGCTGTGCGGTAGCGGGGGCCTGGTGTCACTCTGCTGACAGCAGCACCTGCCACCCTGCGCTTTCCCATCTGCTGCCAGTTAAGTTCATCCCTTGCTGGGACACAAATCCACCCATGAGGATATCTCCTGTGCCCATCTCCACAGTCCCTTCCTGCACCCCAGTCGCTCAGTGGTTGAAGGGGCTGGGGGTCGGGTGCTGTCACATGCCTGGGATGTCGCGTTCCCCGTCAGGCTCCCGTGATCCTGTCAGACGTGCGCCGAGTGCCCGTGTGTGGGGAAGCGGGGCTGGGGGGCACCGACTGGGCTCCACAACTCCCAAAGCCCTGGGGTCCCAGCAGGGCCGCCGGTGGGTCCCCACCGAGGGTGCTCAGCTGCCAAGGCTGCGCTGGGTGCGACCCCTGAGAGGAGCTGCCCTTCTCTTGCAGGTGAAGAGGAAGTTGAACTTGGAGACGGATCACCAGTACATAGCAGAGAGCCTGCCCACAGCCCGTGGCAAAGCAAGGAATCCTGCTAAAGGTACTGGCCCACACTGCGCCGTGGTGGTCCCCTGAGAGTGCTGCCTGGTCTTCACCGTCCCCGGGTCTGCACCCACAGTGCCTGGGCGGGCTGGACTACATCTCTGGGCTCGTTCCCTGTTGCTCCCACCCATCCCTCCGGGTCACCTCGCACAGGCTTCTGCTGTGGAGCAGGAGCTGAAGCTGGTAGGGCACAGCAGAGCCAACCCCTGTCCTCCATGGGTTGCAAGGCACATCACGGGACTGATGTATATTTACACGACCCAGCGCAGGTAGGCAACTCAGAAAAGCCAGGTCAACTCATCTCATTGTGCCGAGATTGCTGCGATGGGCAGGTTGAGGAAGACAAGGCCTGGAGTGGGCCTTGAGCCCACTCACAGATCATGAGGCCACTCAAAAGGTGTATTTTGAGCATGGGCTTCAGGCTGGTGTGGCCAAGGACCTGTGGCTGAGGAGCGCTGGGTGAGCAGATGGTGACAGCCCAGGCAGGCTTTGAACACAGGCAGCTCAAGCTGAAATGGGTCCTGTGATGTGCGAGCAGATCTGGTGGGTCTGAGTGTGCTGGCAGCCATCAGTAGGCAAGCTGGAGGAGAGCACATGCTCCTGGACCTGGGCCCACGGTCCTTGGCATGGACCTGGCCCACTGGTCCAGGGTCCTGTGGGCCTGGACCTGGGCCCACGGTCCTTGGCTGCTTGCAGGGACCAAGTCTCCCGGGGAGAAGTCCCGCTATGAAACCTCCCTGAACCTCACCACCAAGCGCTTCCTGGAGCTCCTGAGCCAATCGCCTGATGGTGTGGTGGATCTCAACTGGGCAGCTGAGGTCCTGAAGGTGCAGAAGAGGCGCATCTACGACATCACCAATGTCCTCGAGGGCATCCAGCTTATCACCAAGAAGTCCAAGAACAACATCCAGTGGCTGTATGTACCAAAGTGGGCTCCTGTGGGCTGTGTCCTGGGCTAGGGCTGGAGGATGCTCTTGAAGCAGCTTGGACTTGTGTCTGGGTGGGAGTTTTGGGGTCTTGCAACTCTGGGAAGCAGCTGGATATGAGAAGCTCAGGGGAGTGTCACGCTGCTGTTGGCAGCTGGATCCTAAGCATCTGCCCTGGAGTTGTATGTTCTGCTCTGGTGGGCCATGACCTTTGGAGAGGGCTGCATATGATCACGGATCACTCCTGAGCACTTATTTCCCAATGTCGTCTTCAAATCTCTGTTGTCTGTGGGCTGGGGCCTTGCAGGTAGAGCTGACACCTCTGGGGGCTCAGCTGGGGTCTGGGAAACAGGGTATTTGTTTGGGTTGTGATGTCTTGGAGAGGAGCCCAGAACAGCTCTTTCAATCCAGGTTTGTCCTGGTGGGAAATGCCCACAGGACCCGCTCCCTAGGCCCAAGGTGGCAGGGTCCCCAGGTGGGATGGCTGCTGGGGGACATTCTGGGTACGAGTGAGCCACGGTTTGCTGCAGCCACATTCTTGGGAGACTCCCAGGCTTACTGGTGCAGCACAAGGGCAGAGTGACCTGGGATTTTCTTGCTTGCGAGTGGGACAATCCACTGGCAAAGCCATGGGCATCTTCCAGGCATGAATGAAGGGTGCAGAGCGGAGGAATTTATCTGTCCTGCTGTGCAAGTGCTGCCTGGGACATGGCCACGCCAAAGGTGACAGAGGCCCATGTTTCCTCCAGGGGCAGCCAGGCTGCCGTGGGATCCTCCAGCCAGCACCGAGTGCTAGAAAAGGAGCTGCGGGACCTGCAGGCAGCTGAGCGGCAGCTGGACGACCTCATCCAGACGTGCACTGTCCAGCTGAGGCTGCTCACAGAGGACCCTGGGAACCAGCAATATCCTTCTCTGAGGGACGGTCTGGGTGCTGGGGCTGCCAGGAACCCCAGGCCCTGCAGCACATGGGCATGGAGGGGTAGCTGGGGAGCAGCTACCTCTTGCCCCCGAACACAGGCCAAAGAGCCCTCCCCAGGTCCCGTTGTCCCCTTCTTGGGATTCACCACCTGCAGGGAGTGTGTATGGGCCTGAGAAGGGGACAGTGCTGGAGAGTGAACCCTGTGTCTGGTCTCAGGAATATGTGAGCCAGATGATCTCAGCTTTGCAATAGGTAGTTCTTGGGCAAAGGCAACTTTTGATTCTGTCCTTTGGGACTCCGAGTCTGACTCTGGGACTTGCACGGCTGTGGGGCACATCTGCAACCCAACAATCATGCTTGGCACTGCTTGACAGTTCCTGAAACGAGGTGGGCTAGTGCTGCTCCCTTTTCAGCCTTTGAACATGGAGTGCTGCATCCTGTCTTCTCCTTGTGCGGGCTCCTAGATGCTGGCAGTGCCCTGCTCTTTTGGCCTGCACCCGAGACCACTGCCTCACGGTCACTGTGAGGGCTCTGCCAATCTAGCGTGGCAGGGATGGTGCCTAGTTGGGTTTGGGCAGAGGATGGTCTAGCCTTGATGCCCGCAGTTATCTCTGTGCAGGGCCACTGAGCTGCTCACCAGTGCCAACTGGCTGGGGCTGTATTTGGCATCAGGAGGTGCCACCTAGTTCACTAGGCATCTCCCAGCCCGTCGCAGTGCTTCTGATGCCCCTATCGCATGATGGCATCCCCCACATCTGCTCCTTAACCGGCCACACCGCAGCCTATGTGACCTGCCAGGATCTCCGGAGTATTGTGGACCCCTCTGAGCAGATGGTGATGGTTATCAAGGCCCCCCCAGAGACCCAGTTACAGGTCTCGGACCCCACGGAGGTAAGCCAGGGGCCTCCAGCCAGCTCCCTGGCTCTGCAGGGCCCCTGGCTATGGTGAGCTCACAGCTTGGCATCCTCAGGGCTTCATTGTGCTCACTTGTCTCCTTCCTCCCAGGCTTTCCAGGTGTCCGTGAAAAGCACTCAGGGTCCCATTGACGTGTTCCTCTGTCCCGAAGACAGCTCTGGAGTCTGCAGCCCTGTCAAGAGCCCATTCAGAGCGTCCGTGGAGGATTCATCGCCCATCTCTTTGCAGCCCAGAGCCTCGCCGCTCCTGCATCCGGCCCAGGACGTGAACATGCCACTGCTGCCTGGCGAGCAAGGTGAGCGGCCAGGGCAGAGCGTGCGACTCGAGGAGGCTGCGAAACGGCTTGGTGCCTGCACAGCTGGGGGGATGGGAGCTCTGACATGACTGTGGAGCAGCTCAGGCTGGGGGCTGCCAACAGCAGGAACCCCCCACCGGTTTAATCCCAATTTGCATCCCTCAGGGGCTGGCAGGCATCAGAGACCTCCCAGCAACCCCTCGGCATGTCCTGGTCCACAGGAACGTGCAGGATGGAGCTGCAAAGGCTGCGCCTTGCACCATGGCATGGGAAGGCGGTGTCCTCTGCCCAGCCAGGCTGGGCTCCTGGTCTGGTCTCGACATCAGCAGGGATATAGCAGCGCCCAAAAATTGTTCTGGCACCATGGGGACTTGTGCAACTTGTGCTTGCTCTCACGAGACAGTGAGCATAACTGCGAGCTGCATATGTGACCATTATGAGCAGTGTTGCCCAATTTCATTATTGTTTTAGCATCACTCGGCCTTACCAAAGTGTCCTTTGTCATTAGCTAAGAAAATTAACCCTTAGCATGATAACCCTTTACTCCTGCTGTTTCCCGTGCCTGGTGCAGATTTTGGGGGTCCCGGGGGACTCCTGGCACAGTGGGCCAGGACTGTGCTGCAGGTCCTGCAGCTCTCCCTGTCTCCTCAGAGCCCCTGCTGCCCAGAGAGGCCGCACTACCCAGCAAGTGCCCTGCGGATGATGTGAGCCTCTCGCCGCTGGCCTCCATGGATGCCCTCCTGGAGCAGAGCAAGGACGATTTCTCAGGCTTCCTGACAGACGAATTCATCAACCTGTCCCCACCGCAGCCCCAGGATTACCACTTCGGCCTGGAAGAGGGCGAGGGCATCAGCGAACTCTTTGACTGTGACTTTGGGGACTTCACGCCCTTGGACTTCTGAGGTGGTGGCAGGAGTGGTCACCATTCCTCTGTGGGGCTGCCAGCCTCAGTGGCCTGTTGGGTGAAGCTGGGGCAGGAGGGATGTGTTTGTACCCCCAGGCGTGAAGGGGAACAGCCTGGAGGACGTCCCATTGGGCTTGGGTTTGCCTTTCACTTGCTCCTGGCGCACGTGCCTTCCTTGGCAGCCGCTCCCACATGGTGTTGGCTCCTTGTGGCCGCCCATCCTTGGCGGCTTCCCCCTGCCTGGGCCTGCCTGGGCCAGCGGCTACGCTTCCCTCCCTTGCCCCTGTGTCCCTGCAGCTGTGTGGGGCCCCGCGGCAGGGTGGTGAGGTGGAGGGACCCATGGGGGCCATCTCAGCTCCCCGCTTGCCACCCCTCCGCGGGACCCTCAGCAAGGGCAGCCGGGCTAGGCCCCCAGCAGAGCTTTAAGCAGTCCTGTGTATAGACGTGATTAATTTATTATTGTCGTTTCCTGGGGACGGTGTGGTGGGGACAGGAGGTGGCAGAGGGACCACAGGGCCTGGCCTGCCTCCCTGCGGAGAGCACAGCAGCCCTGCAGCGTGGGGTATTTATTTATTATTTATGCGACGTGAGCGGGTGCCAGGGCATGAGCGCAGCTCGCCCATCGGCCTCGAGAGGTGCCGCCATGGCGGCAGAGGAGGGAGCCCGGCAGGGGGGGGCGGCAGGGCTCCAGGTGGGGAGGCCCCGGCTTTGGGAGGAGTCCCCAGACAGTGGGGGACAGCAGCACCCACCCCACACTGTCTCCAGTCCCTTCCATGGTGTTGACCCTGGGCCTGGCCCTGGCTCTGCTCTCTCTGTGCCATCGTCCCAGACGAGCCTCATGGCCAAGCAGAGGCCTCCCAGGGCCGTGTGGGGCCGCCAGCACCAACAAGGACCAGACGCCATCTCCAGGCTTTCTCTCACAGGCTTCATGCAGCACTTGGGGTAGCACTACCTCCCCGTGGCTTCCTCATCACTGTCCCCCTGGCCCTGCCACAGCCTGTGGGGCAGGAAGCAGCACAGGGGAGCGAAAAGGGAAATGAAGGGGCTTTCCTCCCTGTTCAGGGTTGTCCCCAGCCCGGACAGCCACAAGAGTCCAGCTGGAGACGCACTTTCACTTACTGCCTTTTAACCAGTTTTGTGTTCTTCTGAGCTTCGTGTTTAATAAAGGTTTCTACTGATGCCCTGCCGTTTGCCAAACTCCGAAAGTGTGGCATCCTTTATTTATTTTATGTATTTATTTTTAGTCCCTCTCCTCTAAAGGGGACCGAATTATGATGTTTTTTTTAAAAACTTGGACAAGAGCAGCTGTGTCCTTTCTCAAGATGGTGTTTAACACAGGCAGCCTTGTTGCAAAGGCAGTTGCTATGGTGCCTCATTCCACACTGTGGGAATGTGAGCAGGATTCAGGTGGGTGCCAGTGCCACCAGCCCAGATGTGGGTGCTGAGTGCCCCATGGGAACAGGCTTGGAGCCTTGCAAGGGAAAGTGCTTGTGCCCTAAGCGGGCACAGCACCTTGGATGATGGTGTTGGGATGGGTGCCTCAACTTGCACTGTACAACACAGTCTGCCCTGAGAGAGCTGCCCTATGTCCTCATTCCCAACCCTGGCATCACCTGCCAAAGGTGGCAGCAGCTCTGGGGATGCGAAGGCCACACTGTGCAGGAACGCTGCTTCCTTCCTGGCTTTGTGCACCTTGCTCTCTCCCTGCTTCTGCTTCCCTGCCCTCATGTCACTTATTTTAAAAGAGCGATAAATATTTCACTCTGGACCACATTGCATAAGCTCCCGCTCCCATGCTGGCTTCTGCAGCTACTTGGAGATGTGGTTTCTGGGCTACGGGGCAGCCTGTCCAGAGCACCCTGTGGGTACCACATGGCCAGGGGCAGCTTAGGGGCACAGCAAGCAGTGCTGCTGGCCAGCCCAAGCCCACCACCAAGGCCAGCACAGGGGTGTGCAGGAGGTCTAGCACAGTTGGACGTTTCGGTCTTCAATGCATTTCTTGCCTGCAAATCACAGCTGGTGGCGGGGGGTAAAATTTTGAGGGAAAAATAACTAGGAAGAAGGAAAGGAGCTGAGAGGGAAATTGAGGAGCTGTGTGCTGCACATGGAGGCCAGGGAGCAAATCCTGCTTGCAGCGCCTGGGCTGCCCACACAACGCAGTGTGCGCAGGGCCTAGGGGTGACACCCCGAGAGGGGTGAAAGGGCTGAGCAGGGACCAGAAACTGGCCAGGAGGAATTGCCAGGAGAGGCACAAAGCCAGCACCCCTCTCTCAGGAGTGGCTGGGACATCTCCGTTGGGGGATCCCTTCCCTTCCATTACGGAATGGAGTTCCCAGGCAGCCTGGTGCAGTGCCAGCTCTTCCCTCAGTGCTCCTGCACTTTAATGATGCTCTGAAGTGGGGCCTGGCCTCGGTGCTGGTGAAGCTGGGGAGCAGCTGGAGGAGGCCCTGGGGACATCAGAGCAGAGATGCTGGCTGATATTTCAAGGCCCAGAGGGCTTCACTGGAGCAGACCCAGCACGTGTATCGGAGGCTCCCACACTGATCTGTTAGAAAAAAGCATGAGAAATGGCCAAGAGATCCCATCGGCTTTCTCTAGGCAAAAACATCAGGGGGAGCTGAAGGGGAAATGACTTTGGTTGTTCACCATGGACAAACAGCAGGCCCCATGACCAGGGTGGGGAGAGGGCAGAGAAAGGGACGGGCTCTCTGTTTCCATATTGCAGGGCTGCATCAGTAATAGTGAAGGGTCTGTCATAGCTTCCTGGACAGAAACCATTGCAGAAGGGCGAAAGCTACTGCAATTCACTGGGAACAGCCCCTGAGCTCTGCCCCTGCGGCCAGACCAGCACCTTCATCACCTTGAAGCCAAAGGCATCTCCTATATGGAAAGGTTGGAAGGTTGGTGGGTACATCACTGAGTAACTTTGTTGTATGGTGGTTGGTGGTGGCCTTGGGAAGGAGCCCATCCCACCACAACCATCCTCTGCAAACAGCCACCTGCTCCTATGGGGTCTTCTTGGAAAGGTTTCCCATCAGTCTAGAAGGCCGTAAAACAAGAGAGCAATGTGTTGTGGGTTACCCCAAGGAAGGGCATTTCATTAGTTTCTCATCCAAGCACAGCAATACTTACCACTCACTGTAAACCTGCCTGCACTGACATCAGTGGCATCTATTGTTGTGCTGCCGCATGACTGTAGATTCCTGGTAATGCAGGAAGAGGAATCCTGGTACCCCTCGAAACAAGGTTCCACATGCGGCTGAGCTCCTTCGCCGTGGGTCCAAGCAGGGATGAAGCTCCTCCACTGCTGTGGCAATGCAAATGGAGGAGCACACAGCCGCATGGAGGCATTGGTTTCTCCACGCCTCGTCAGAGCAGTATAAAAATAACCTGCTTTGCCTCCCAGGGATGATTCATTTTGCAGCTGAAGGGTTTCCCTGCTTCTGTTTTGAATCAGCAGGTAATTCATGGAGGAGCTTTCCTCATTTCTGAACATTATGTGTTAACTTTGGAAAGTGACCCAGGGCTCTGGCTGCCGATGGTTGTGACTTTGTGGGTTTTATGAGTTACTTGCCATGCCTTCAGGCCCTGGACTGCTTTTCTTGTTGGTCCAAGGAGACATGGTGTGCTACTGAGGAGGTGCACACCACATCCTGCCTTGTGTCATCCTCTTTTCCGCAGTAAGCACACAGGTAGCAAGGCATGCTTTCTCCATCTAGCCTTGGAGACATGCTCAATACTGTCACGCTGCCGCTCCATTAAGAACAGCAAACACTTGCAGTGACCACAAAGTGCTGCGAGCCTGAGCTGTGCCAGAGGAAACGGCAAAACCGCAAGCGCAGAGCAGGGCGAGAGTGTCTCCCTGTGCCCATCTGGCACCAGGGTTGAATGGGGACATATTGGGCCATGGCCAAAGCAGGGACAGGCTGGCAGGTTCTTGAGTACCTGTATTACATGGGGATATGGCACAAAGTTGGTCACCATTTGCACTGTGCACAGCCCACGTGCAGGCAGCACGGCTCCCCTCATGGCTCCCCATGTGCCCGTGGTGCCCTCTGCCGATGTGGGCACCCTGAGTCCCAGCCTCTGGATGTTGATCCCCTGGTCAAAGCAGTGGCCAGGGGCACTTCACGGGAGCTCCCCTGGGGCTGCCAAGTGCTGCAGATCTGCACAGGTGGCCGATTTTTCTTTCATTCATGGAGAAAAGCAGCTGCGCCAAGGTGGGAACCCCCACGGGAAACGCCCCGGCTTGTCTCCCTTTTCCTCGTGACTCCACGCAGGGGATGAGGCTCCTCTTGCCTCTGCAGTTTCCCCTCGCTGTCGGGTTGAGGCAACTCATCTCTGCAGGCTTTAACAGTGAAGGTTTGTTCTAGTGGGAAGGAGCCAGGTTCCTGTCCCTGTGTCAGAAGGTCAGTGATGCCCCTGTAGGTTTTCCCTCATAGCAGTGGGGTTTGGCGCACCCCATGCAAGCTGAGCTTCGGCTGGGCACAGCCTCTGCTTTCTGGCTCACTTCTGCATGCTGCCACGTACTTAAATATTTCAGATTCTGCAAAAAACTGCTTATTCCTTCCGAAAATAAATAACATAGGAAGGTGAAGTGCAGCATCGTTTATTCATGGAGCCACTGGTAAGTGGGTACTTCATTTATTCATGAGCGACTGTGTCCCTGTCCCTTGCTCACAGGTTTGCTGCTGCAGGGGTACAGGCAGGAGCAATCGGTGGGAAGAGGGCTTGGGTTCTTGTGACCGTGAAACCCGCTGGTGTGACCCCCTGGTCAGGACTTGTGCCAACACAGCCTGCCAAGAGCGGCTGTTGAAGCCTCTCCTGGAAGGCCATGTGAGAAGCCACCGCCTTCTCCAAGCAGAAGTTTGGCTCTGGGTTTTAGTGTGGTCAGGATCTTCTCTCGGCACTTTACAGTTGCTTCTTCCAAGGCTGAAACTTCTGCTGAACTTAAGGAGCCCCTGATCAGGACAGACTGTGTGTTTTGGCAGCACGGGAGCACAGAAAAGCCCATGGGGTTTGTTAATAGAGGTAAAAGGAAGCCCTATCAGTTCAGGTTTTCCAGCTGTTGCAGTTGTCCAGATCGCAGCAGACACAGCCAGCAGCAGCTTGTGCCACATCCCTTCTCCAATTCCTGTGGCAACCGATGAGTGAAAGAGCCAGAAGGAGGGTTACAGACAGAAATGGTGGAAGGAGGAATGGTCATGCATGTCTGTTTGGCCTGTGGGCCTTAGCTGCGTGCTTCATCCCCGTGACAGCCATGTTTGGCAGCTCCAGCTCTTCAGCACAAGGAATTTTCTTGCTGCCCTCTGGGAGGGAAGGGCTCAGGGTCTGTGAGCATCCCCCTGTTCAGCTTCAAGTCCCAGGTGCACTTTTTCCACCTCTCTTCCCTTGCATACAGCAGGAGCAGCAGGGAGGTTGTAAAAATAGCCATGATGCAGCCTCGCAATCAACCCATGCTCTGCTTGCAGATGGTTGTCCCTGGGGGTGGAGGAGAGCAAGGAAACTACACGTGCCACAGCTTGGTCACGTTGGTCTAGAGAAGCGTCTCAGCTCTGAAATTTAAGTTAAGACAAGCTGAGCTCAGCAACATCTGCTGCCCTCCAGAGATCCTTGAGAAGGAAGAGAGAGTGCCAACAGAGGCCAGCCAAACTACAGTTTTGCATCCAAATGAAATTGTGGCATGCCCCT